TTTTTCTCTGTTGAGCGACTCCTGGAGACGTTTTGGAGATCCACGTTGCGGCGCGAAACTGGGAGAGTACTATGTGTCTCCAGATGGTCAGCCTGTAGTTTTGGGTTGGTGTACGGTGGCCACAATAGTAATCCACGATTTTGAAGAAGGGAGGAAGTTCAGCGTTGGGCAAGCCATTTTGGACATATTAATTTTTCATAAATGACGAGTGGTTAACCCTTCTCGAAGTGAAGTTTTAAGTGGTTCACCCTGCTGGAAGTTCTATCTCACTCAGAAATTGATGGCTGCTTAGCACTGACGGTAAATTACAGTCGACCAAGTATCTGGCTGGGGTACATTAACACCTTAGCCCCACTTGCAATGCCTTTTTTGCCGCGGCACCGCAACGCGGATCTCCCAACCGATGCACAACCATAATGATGATTTTGCAGGGACCTCACTCGTGGCCTGGTGCACGTGAAGCTATTCTTTCGTTTGAAGATCGTGTATTCAACACTACTCGTACCCGACGAACAAAAGAGACCCTGAGCAGCAAACCGACAGTCAAAATGTTCCAATTCATACGTCTTATCGAATGATTTTTTGACTTTATAAAAGCTTTCTCATAGAACATTGTGTTGGTTCCGCCGGAGGGTAGTTCCCAGTGTTGCTACGACTCGTGTTGTTAAGGGCTGTTCCTATCAGCTGTTATAACGTCCTGCCACCCACCGATAAGGTTCCCATCCTGCCCCCTATCTTACTTCGTGGAAACGACACCTTACCGTCGCTGTGGCGCAATTTATAATGTTGATGAGCTTCCCTTTGTAAGGCCTCTTATGGTATCTTATCAGCTGTTATCACTGCCTGCCACCCACCAATAATGTTCCCATCCTGCCCCTGTCTTACTACTTGGATCCAAGGTCCCGTCGTTGCTCTGCGACGGTAAGGTGTCGCTTCCACGAAGTAAGATAGGGGGCAGGATGGGAACCTTATCGGTGCTATGAATTTGGTGACCCTCCCCTTCTAGAACCCCTGTGCTATCTTATCAGCTCTTATCAGTTCCTGCCACCCACCGAAAATGTTCCCATCCTGCCCCCTATCTCTCTACTTGGATCCAACGCCCGGCCGTTACTCTGGCCGGTGTTATGAGTTTGGTAACCCACTCTTTTTAAGGCTCCTCATGGTATCTTATCAGCGGTTATCACTTCCTGCCACCCACCAATAATGTTCCCATCCTGCCCCCTATGTTGCTACTTGGATCCAACGTCCGGTCGTTACTCTGGCCGACGCTATGAATTTGGTGACCCTCCCCTTCTAAGACCCCTGCGGTATCTTATCAGCTCTTATCAGTTCCTGCCACCTACCAATAGTGTTCCTGCCCGACCCCCTACATCACTTATCAGTTTGAGCGCTCTGCCGCTCCTTTGAAGGAAGTTATGAATTTCCGGTCAAACACACACACACACACACACACACACACACACACACACACACACACACACACACACACACACACACACACACACACACACACACACACACACCACACACACACACCGCCGGCACACCAATAAGCAAACTTAGCGATCATAATAGTAGGATAGGTTCGTAACCAGCTCCAAGAGGCGCATCCGTTTGTACTCTAGTTGCTGCGGATGGAGGGGCGTGTCAGGCAGTATGAGTATGCCACGTCGTTAACCCGTTCTGAGCCACTTGCTGCGGGGGCTATGCGACAACAATCGGTAGGAAGAGCGACACGAACGATATGATACAGCCTTACCGCTTGTTCGCTTCAAATGACGGGGGAAAATGGATTTGGCATCGTGCCAAACACACCCCTCCTAACACGCCCCTTCATTGCTACCGAACCAGACTATACATCTTATTTCGAACTTCTCCCACTTCAACCAACCATCCTTTCCTGTTGCGATGCCGCTTCAACATGTTTCTATCAGTTAGAACCACTAACTTGACTTTTCCCCTCCTCTCTGGGTACGGCTGAGCGAAGACAAGACAGTGCTAATCCGCTGCGAAAGAAAGCCGTTGAAATTCGAAGCATTTGCTCCCGGATTGCGAAAAAAGAGCTTTATTACGGTTGTTTAGCAGCATATTCGTCTACAAGTTTGAATGCAGGAAAATTTTCGAGAATGAACTGCTTTTCATCATCCAAGGTCTTCCTCCACCACTTGCCCAGCCTGAAATAGCAATCCGTCGGTGCTGAAATGTATTTATTGTAGTGCAACGATCGAAAATCAGTTCACGCACCTTTCAACAATTGTGCGTCTGCTTTCCGCATGCATTGCATGTAGGCCCATTTCAAGAAGCGCCTAGATTGAATAGTTCGGTTTCTGTGCAAAGTTTCATCGGCGAAAGAAAATGAAATCAAAACTTCGCTTCACTCTTGAAAGCTTCAATACTCACTACGGTGACAACGGTAGTGTCGCGATCTTTATACCGTCGCTCATATTCACTGTATTTGGAATCTAGATCTCTCCGGTACATATACACATAATTTTCGGGCTGTGAAAGATACTATGCAGAATATCAAGCATGTTTCAAGTGAGCAGCATATTTGTCACAAATAGCGCAAAAAGCTTCTGTTAATTTCTTTCGCAAAAGTCCTTACATCTTTCTGTGGCGAGTCGATAGGAGCCCTTTGCAGTTCCTTGAATGTGTATCCTATAAACTGCTTTCCGAAATCGTCCAGAAAGTCATCTGTAATATCGGCATACACAACCAACGAAATGGATCGACAAGAGCAAACCAACCTGGCCCGAAGGGTTCCTCGACTGGTCGGGTGTCTTCGCGAGACTCGCTCGCCGTTGATGGAGGCGGCTGAGGTGCTTCTGTTCGTGGCGGTGCCGGTGTTTCAATTGTGCTTTCTTGATTCTCGATTGAAAGCACGGTTGCCGTTAATGACTGCTATGAAGACGAAAAGGGCGACGAATTGCATTGTTTCCTGTGACGATCGAATGGTACCTACCACGGCTGACCGCTTTTATACGGGTGATAATCGCAATGATCGCTATCAGACCCCTCATCATTTACTCGAGCTCTAGTCAGATGAACGGTCCTGTAGGATACCG